TGAACGACGCGAGAGGAGCGCCATCGCCACCGCCGAAATTCTCAACAAACTCAAGCAATGTCTTGCTGTACTTTGCGCTCGGTATGTTGAGCGAAACTACGTTCTCGATAGCCGTGGCTTTCCAATCCGCAACCTGGCGCATCCCTGGGTCATTAGCAATCGCTGCCAACGTCGCGCAGGTCTCCAGCTCCCCGACCTCCGTGCCGATGTGGTTCTGAGTGTTTAGAGCCTCATGGGCTACTGAAGCGAAACCTGGGAACAGCTCGTCAATGATACTTGGGACCACCTCCCACGCCCATTCTGGGACAACTTCTGCACGTCAATCGTATCTGAATCAGCCATCTGCAATGACTTCTCCGACGTCCTGCCCTGCACCCCTGCCAACTTGCAGAAAGCCGTGGTGTGTCCACACCCGACTGTAACGTACCGCTCGGAGCCATTAACTGGCGCTAGAAGCCCATCGGCTCTGACCACCAGCGCCTTGTTCTTAGCAGCGTGCTGCCAACGGACGGGCGACTTGACTCCAAGCTCGATGCACACGGCATTTGATAGCTGGCGCATGTCGGCACCAGCTGCATGGATCCGAGCAGCATTGCGATGCACATTGTGCGGGCTCAGAAGAAGCCCTCCACGGGTCGCACTGTGTGCGAGAAAAAATTCGGCTCGATGCTGTTCACGGCGTGCGCCAACTTGTGTGCCCGAAGGCAGGTCATCAACATATCCATATGCTCGTTCGCCTTCATCTTTTTCAAATTCAAAATCTTCTGGAACTCAGTTTTGAAAGCTTCCGCAAGCTGAGACATAGCTGAAGAAAGCTGCTGGAAGCTATAGCGAATGCCTTAAGCCGAAAATTCTGGAACTACGGATGGTAGAATGCAACTGCACAATCACAACATATTTCTCGAAATCGTCGTGTCCGATGCTCATACCTCTTATCCACAATTCAATGTTGAATATCTGCTCTGCATGCTGATGTTGAGTCCTCCGAACTATCCCTGGGTAAAGCTCACCAAGTTTTTCAGAGCTTGTTCACCGACAAATGGGTTCTGACATGTTCTTTGGATTCCCAACATGAGCTGGGTTTGCAAAGGGAGCTATGTTTGGTTGGCAACGGGAGCTACGTTTGGTTCGAAAAATTTCAACGTTTGGTCTGCAACGGGAGCTATGTTGAAACGTGGAGATCTGTTCATGTTGGGCCTGTGAGAAAAACGATGTCAACATTTTTTCGGAAAAAGTTTTTTTCATGTTAGCCTATTCTGAGCATCATGTTAGCCTATTCGAAAAATTATGTTAACTTAACATACATATTTTTGACTTCGAATTTTCAAACAGAAAACTACGTTAACTAACATAAGCAGCTATGTTAACATGAGATAAATGAGTTATCACAATTATCATATTTATCCAACACAAACCATACACTATTTAGCAACCGATAAACCTTTTATGCAGTTTATGTTGAATTAATAAAAACCATGCTGGCTTTAGCTAACTATGACAAACAAGCTTACTAGCTGCAGCAGCTTGTTGCTGCTTTGTGAGAGGGTTGAATGAACGTTGTAACCACCTTAGCAACTCGTTATAAAGCTCATAAGCCTCAACAAAGCCGACATTCATCTCAGTAATACATGTTTTTCTTTTGGAAGCGCTGAATTCCTGCTTCCGGCGCCCGGGAGGCTGGGCCCGGGCCGATTCCGACGCCCGGGCCGGCGCCCGAGCAGGCGCCGGGGCCGGACAGCCGAGCCGGCGCCCGGGCCGGCGCCCAGACCGGGTCCGGAGCCGGTTCCACCCGGCGCCGGAAAATCGAGTTCCGAGGCGGCGCCGGAAAAAAACCATTCCAATATACATTTTTCTTTTGAAAATGCTGAAATTCTGTTTCTGGCGCCCGGCTCGACTCGTGCTCCCGCTGCAGCGCTCGCCTCATTTCCGTGCTTCCGCTCGTTCCGAATCGTGCTCCCGCTGCAGCGCTGGCCTCATTTCCGCGCTTCTGCTCGTTTCGACTCGTGCTCCCGCTGCAGCGCTGGCGCCATTTCCCGTGCCATGCCACTGCATGCAATGCAATGCTAGGTTGATGCTGCGCTTCTCGGTGCTCTTCTACGCCATGCCACGCCGTGCTCTACAATGCATCGCGTACCCTTTCGGGGTCATTGCCCTGGTCGACAACCGACTGTGCGAGTAGAGAGGGGATCTGCGCCATGGTAAGGGATGGGGTAGGATGTCAGATATGACGCGAGCGCACCTAGCTTGCCCCTCCCCCCTCCCCCTCCTCCCAAAGGGGCAGGCAGAGAGCCGATGGGGCCCGCCCGGGGCCGCCCAGGGTGGCGCCGCGCCTCCTCGCCGTCCGGCTCGCAGACCAGCAGCGGGGAGGTGGCGCGCGGGTCTTCGTCCTCCTCTTTTTCGGGAAGGGAGCGGGCGAGCGGCCGAGGACGGGGAGAAAAGGGTGGGGGGAGGGGAGGGCAGGGAAGTCGGGGGGGGGGGCGGCGGGAGGGGGGATGGGTAGAGAGCAACGGGGAGGCTGGATGGGGGACTGGGGGGAAGAGGGAGGGGAATGAGGAAATCGGGGGAGGCGGGGACGGGGGGGAACGGGGAGGGTGCAAGTGGAAGGGTGGGAGGAGGATGAGGATGAGGATGAGGATGAGGATGAGGATGAGGATGAGGAGGAGGAGGAGGAGGAGGAGGAGGAGGAGGAGGAGGAGGCGGAGGAGGAGGAGGACGAGGAGGAGGCGGAGGCGGAGGTCGGTCCGCGCGAGGAACGTGGCCTGGGGCTGGCGCAAGCCATCACTGCCAGGCCGTTGCCAAATCGAGGGGACAGAGGGCGACAGATGGGAGGTGCGAGATCCGCCTCCTCCGTCTGAGCGGTGAGCAGAACCGGGTCTTACGCGAGGCGACATGGCGACCCAACGTCGCGGCGCACGCGGGGCAGCAGCGCGCCACGCCACACTGGAAGCGCGGGCGCTCACGTGCGCATTTACGCGGGCGCCTCACGCTGCAATTTCGGTGAAGCTAGCTGCGTCGCTGATCCGTGGCTGCCGTTCCCGTAGTCACTTGTGGCCCAGTAGAAGGCGCTCGTCGCGCTGACGCGGCGCCCTGCTCTCGGGAGCGCACGGGAGGGCAGGGAGGGGGGGGAGGGGACGGAGAAGCAAGGAAGAGGATGGGGCGAGGCGATGAGAGAGAGGAGGGGGGAGGGGCCGGAGCGACGCCCACCGAGGTGTTATGATCGAGCCATTGGCATGGTGATCGCCGTTTTTGTGCCTTCAGAGCTCCATCGCGGCCACCGCTGCATCTGCCTCGCAAAACTATTAGAACGCAGGCGACGTGAGGAAGGCAGAAGGAGAGGGATGAGGGATGAGGGGGGCGGCGAGCCGCCGCGGGTGGCGTGGGTCCTCGCGTTCGTCGACGCTCTTCCCTCCTCGTCTTCCTCGTCGCCGCTGCCGTCGTCGCGGTGTTCCTCCTCCTCCTCCTCCTGCTCCTCCTCCTCGCACTCCTCCTCCTCCTCCCTCATCCCTCCCCACCCCCTCCTTCCCAGAAGGCTGTTTCTCGCATGGGTTCCAGAAAAGCGGTCTTGCGGCACTTCAAGAATCTTGGAGCGAAGTCGAGGATGTCCTACATTATAGCGACTTTCCGAATTTGGGCCGTCCCCTCAAGAGGAAGTTGCAGCGCGCTCGCATCTGTGACTGGAAGTATTCTAGAGGTCACGGGAATCAGGGCACCGAAGGTATCATTCGCTTATCCACGAGGCGAACGCTGGGGCCACAGCTGGTCCGAGCAGGACCAGAGGCATGGTGGAAACTACTCCAAATCTCCTTGGGGGCCCCACGGCCCGCAATCCGTGGGAGGACCGGCTGCGCCATCTCGAGATCCCGCAAGGACTGTGTAGCACCAGAAAAGTCCAACCATGCGTACGCTCGTAGTGCTGAGGCAGGCCGTTTCAAGAAGAGACCACAGGACAACTTTCAATCTTCTGAACTCCATGGGGCCGCGCCCCAAGAAGAGAGCAGACCCGCGCGCCCTGCCTCTTATGAAAGGTTTCGACGAGGTACCACATGCATCAGATGGAGCTGTCGCAGAGATGTGGATTCAACACTTCGCTACGGACGAAGCGTCCAGTCATTCCGTTTCAAGATTTCGAATGGGTCGCCACAACTGTCGGCGAAATCCCCGACGATGTCTTAGTCAACGTCTAGCTGGAACCTGGCAAATCCATATTCGGCAACAATTCGTGCAGGACGGCGGAAATGCCGAACACGGCCGCCTCGGCGCACGGCCATCCCTCGACCAGAGCTCTGGACGCCCGAAATGGCTGCGGCCGCTGTTTGTGCCGGCGGGTGTGTGCGTGTGTGTGTGTGTGTGTGTGTGTGCCTCGGAAAGACAAAGACCGCGGCGACGCCGACAGCGAATTCTGCTCAGCATGAACAGGGGATGCTGCTGGACTCTGTACCCGTTGTTGGGGATCTGTTGACCCTGGTCAATCCAAACCTTGGTCAGTCAGGCCTGCAGTATCCAAACGACCTACCAGACCATCCCAACACAACCCGAAGACCCGAATTTCGGGTCGGGGGGAGGTAATTACTGGCTTCATACGTGTTTTTGTTTCAGAATGTTCCCTGACCTCCCTCACTGGACATGTTGTGCAAATGGTGGCCATCGGGTTGGGTTGGAGTGGTTTCGTGGGCGGTGAGATCCTGCAGGACCCTGCACCCAAGCCCGTGACACTGCACCCCTGGCCCTGCAGGATCCTGGCACACACGGCGCTCTGACCGACCCCCGTTTGCATCAAGCCCCGTTGTTCTCTGCACCCGTTCCGGCCCCCCCGAAGGGATGGAGCAGCAGGAAGAGGAGGAGGAGGAGAAAGAGGAGGGAGGAGGAGAGGAGAGGAGCAGGAGGGGCGAGGAGGAGGAGAATATGAGGAGAAGGCGGAGGAGGAGGAGGGAGGAGGAGGGAAGGGCAGGAGGAGGAAGGAGGAGGAGGAGGAGGAGGAGGAGAATGGGATATTTTTCGCCGCGCGGAGACAAAACCAGCGGTGGCGGCGAGCCGCTGCCAGCCCGCCCCGGCGCACTCATAGCGAGGGCGCCGGACGCGCTGCCCGCCGCGGCCCCCCGGCGCTGCCCGCCGGGGGACCGCGCGGCGTCCAGGGGGCGGAGCGCGCGGGCGCCGAGGCCGTCGGGGAGCCCCACGCGCGGCGACCACCTGCGCGACGATCAAGCGCTCCTCCTCCTCCTCCCCTCCTCCTCCCACCGCCCTCCTCCTCCTCCTCCCCCTCCTCCTCCTCCTCCCTCCTCCTCCTCCTCCTCCTCCTCCTCCTCCTCCTCCTCCTCCTCCTGCTCCTCCTGCTCCTCCTCCTCCTCCTCCACCTCCTTTTCCTCCTCCTTTTCTTTCTCCCCATCCTCCTCCTGATCCTCCCTCGTGTTCACTCCTCATCCTCTAGGGGAACGAACAATGACGTAAACATAAAAGCTCGGAGGTCCGCGCGGATGTCTCGGATCGGCGCAGGACGCCCCTGGCGGGGCTTCTGGCGCCGCCCCTGGCGCACTCCGCGCGCCAGGGAGGGGGATCCAGCCCCGATCCGAGAAATCCGCGCGGCCTCCGGGCTTGTTATGTTTATGTCAGTGTTCGCTTCCCGAAACACGGGTCCCACGCGAGATGGCACAGCGACCCTACGTGGCGGCTGACGCGGGCCGCCGGCGCGGCGCGCCACATTGGAGACGAGGGCGCTTGACGCGCGAACCTCACGCGGGCAACTTTCGCGCCAATGTCGGGCAGACGATCTCGTTTTCTTGCGTCGCTCACCTGCGCAGCCCGCTGGCGGCAACCGTGTCCGTTCGGTCGCCCCGCTCCGCGCTGCGCCTCCTCTGGGGAAACAAGAAGCGGCATAGACATGTTTTCTCGCAGGTCCGCGCGGATTTCTTGGATGAGCGCGCGGAACGCGCCAGGGGCGGCGCCGGTTGCGCCGTCAGGGGGGCCAAACGCCGATCCAAGAAACCCGCGCAGACCTCGCAGAAATCATGTCGATGCACATATTGTCGCTGTTGCTGCTGCTGGTGTTGTTGCTGTTCTTGTTGCTGTCGTTGAACTCTCATTGATGAGCAATAACTATTGTTGATCCCGCCGTTCAGGGTGCTTCTTCAATTCAAGGGCCATTCCCGGTGCTCTCACATTGTGTTTCATCAGGGATAATCTTGGGTCTAAGAATTCTTCACGCTTCGCGTATCCCCACCAGGTCCGCGGCCCGTTCGCGACTTTCCGCCGCTGGCGCTTCCGCCTGCGGCTGTAAAAAAAATCCCCACCAGACCATTCAGAAGTTTTGTCCATGAGAGCTGACGGGAAAAAGGACGAAGGGGCACATCTAGGGAAACAAAGCGAGCAACCAGTGTTAACCGAGAGCTCTCTGGGAGCAAGGGGGTGGCCGTGGAAGGCCTCTTCGGGCCATCCCTGGGGGCCGCGAGGGGGCGAGGGGAAGAGGAGGCTCGGCTCGGCTCGGAACCCTTGGGCGCGGCAGGACGGAGGTCACGCGGCTGTCTCGCACCTGGGCGTCGCTTCGCGACAATCGAAAGAGGACTGGTCAATTGTTGTGGCCACCATGGCCTGTCGGGCGCCGCCCGCACGGCCCCAGGGAGCGGCCCGCCGATTGGCGCGCAGCCAGGCGGGTGCCCCCCGCGCGGGGACCAGCTCGCGGATCCGTCACGCCCGACCCACCCTCCAACGTCCCGCCCGTCCCATCCGCGAGCCGTTCCCCGTGGGTACTACTGTTGCTGGCCCGCTCCTCCCTGACCCCCCTCGAGGAGATAAACTCCCTCGCAGGGGGTCGGGATGCACTATCCGAGACACGCCTTAAAACATTTGGTACAGGGGCGGCAGGCACAGGCTGGCTCGGGACGGCGGCACTCCCACCTCCCGCTCCGCTCCTTCTACGTGCACGGCGAGTCGGACTCAAAACTTGGACGACAGATGTGGGCAAAAACGGTGATGCGTACACAGTCGCCACTCTCGTGGCGGACAAAACTGCAGGGCTGACAATTCCCCTGGCAATCAGTGATGCGAGCCTCTCACTGCTGGCCATCAAAGCTGATTGAGAGCCTGAAGCAGGTTGCCTGCCTCTCGCTCCAAGGGGCCCCTCGGCGCTGGCCCGTGCACCGCCTCCGCCTTCTCCACCTTCGAGAGGTAGTCCACTAGGATCGGGTACAGAGAGTTGGCGGTCGGCACCTTCGAGTTCAGCACAAACGACAGGACCCCCTTGGCGTCCTCTCCCGCGGTCCTCGCCTTGCGGTACTTGCAGTGGAGGACCTGCTCCGCGATCTCCTGAGGCTTCTTTGCGACTACCACCTGCTGCCAGCACTCGAGGAAGATCTTGTGCCCGTCTGCGTGCGGAGTCGCCCCCCCCGACGCCGTAACTTCCATGCTGCGCTTGATGATGGCGCCGAAAAGATGGACGTGAGGTGGCCCGCGGGCCTTGAAGTCTACCGACTCGCCTCCCGCGACCCTCTCGCGGAGCCTCTTGCTCTCGCCGTCGTACTCGATGCCCCCCTTGCGACACACCTGTCCGAGGGGAAGAGGAGGAGGAAGAGGAGGAGGAGGAGGAGGAGGAGGAGGAGGAGGAGGAGGAGGCCTCTTGGGCGCCTCTTGGGGCACTTTTGGGGCCTCCCGCGAGCTTCATGGGGGCCTTTTGGAGGGTTTCAGGGGGCCTCTGGAGGCTTCTTGGGGGCCTCGAAGGCCCTAGGCCGGTTTAGGGCGTTCCTGGCTTGCCAGACGCCGTCGGAAGCCGTTTTAGGGGGCCTGTCTGGGTCGTCTTGGAGCCCTCTTGGGGAACAGCAGGGGTGATTAGATGCCATCTTGGGCGTCTTGGAGGCCTCTTGGGCCGTCTTGGGGCCCTCTTGGGGTTGTCTTGGGGGCCTTTTGGGCCGTCATGGGGCCATCTTGGAGGCCTCTTGGGCGATCTTGGGGGCTTCTTGCGCCGTCTTGAGCCGTCGGAACGCTGAGAAGAAGCAACTACCAAAATCCTTAACAATCTCGGAAGCCCTTTTGGCCGTCTTGGAAGCCTCTTGGGCCCTCTTGGGGCCGTCTCGGGGGCCTCTTGGGCCGTCATGGCGCCATCTTGGAGGCCTCGTGGGCGATATTGGGGGCCCCTTGGGCCGTCTGGAGCCTTCGGGATGCTGAAAAGAAGCACGTGCCAAAATCTTTGAAAATAACCAGAGGAACATCATTGAGGTTGGCCTCTTCGGGCCCTCCTGGAGGACCACCATGGACGCCTTTTGGGCCGTCTTGGGGGCCTCTTGGAGGCCTCTTTGGCTGTCGTGCGCCATGTTTTTTGTTCGAGCGCTATCCTGCACGGGAGGACCTGGCAGGAGGAAGCCGCGACAAGACGGCGCATCGGCAGTGCGTGACAAACTACGTAGCACCCCGCAATTGCGGATAAGAGTGAGGGGGCGGGCGCGGGCGACGCGGGCGTCGTCAAGCAGGCGGACCTCGCGGCCCCCACCTTCCCTGTCGATGGCGCTCTCCTCCTCCTCCTGTTCCTCCTCCTCCTCCTATTCCTCCTCCGCCTCCTCCTCCTCCTCCTCCTCTTCCTCGTCCTCGTCCTCGTCCTCATCGTCATCGTCGTCCTCCTCCTCCACCTCGTCCTCCTCCTCCTCCGCTTCTTCCTCGTCGACCTCCCTCTGCCCCCCTCGTCCTTCCATCGTCGTCCTCCCATTGTCGTCATGTTCCTCCTCGTCGTCCTCCTCCTCTTCCCCCCCTCCCGATCCTCCCCCCTCTTCCTCTTCGTCGTCGTCGTCGACGTCGTCGTCGTCCCCTTCCTCGTCCTCCTCCTCCTCCTCGTCCTCATCCTCATCCTCCTTCTCCTCCTCCTCGTCCTCCTGCGAAAGCAGCCCGCCGCAGGCGCCGAAAAATTTGGTTTGTACACTGAACGTGGTTTGGGTCGCGGGTGGGCCGCGGGTTCTCCACCGGGAACGAATGCAAAAGATGCCCGCCGCAGGCGCCGAAAAATGTAGTTTGTACCCTGAACGTGGTCGCGGGTGGGCCGCGGTCTCTCCACCTAGAACAAATGCAAAAGATGCCCGCCGCAGGCACCGAAAAATGTGGTTTGTACCCTGAACGTTGTTTGGGTCGCGGGTTGGTCGCGAATTGATCGCGGGGTGGGTCGCGGGCTCTCCACCTGGAAGGAATGCAAAAAAAACCCGCCGCAGGCGCCGAAAATGTTGGTTTGTACCTTGAACGTGGTTTGGATCGAAGGTGGGTCGCGGGTGGGTCGCGGGGTGGGTCGCGGGTGGGTCGCGGGTGGGTCGCGGGTGGGTCGCGGGCGGGTCGCGGGTGGGTCGCGGGGTGGGCCGCGGGCGGGTCGCGGGGTGGGTCGCGGGTGGGTCGCGGGTGGGTCGCGGGTGGGTCGCGGGGTGGGTCGCGGGTGGGTCGCGGGTGGGTCGCGGGTGGGTCGCAGGGTGGGTCGCGGGGTGGGTCGCGGGGTGGGGGTCGCGGGTGGGTCGCGGGTGGGTCGCGGGTGGGTCGCGGGTGGGTCGCGGGGTGGGTCGCGGGTGGGTCGCGGGGCGGGTCGCGGGTGGGACGACGACAACAAACAACAACAACAACAACAACAACAACAACAACAACAACAACAACAACAACAACAACAGCAACAGCAACAACAACAACAACAACAACAACAATCATTTTACCCTCATGCGCCATGCTTCCACATGACACATGCATCCATCTGGATAGCACACCCCATCATGGGGGATTTTTCTGGCATGCGGGATCCGATATTCCCTCACCCAGATATCCCGCCCAAGAAGGTTTGGCCACCACCTCTTCCGAGGAACTTCAACATCCATAGCTCGGACGGCACATCGCCTTCGCAATCGCCTTGCGCATGCCCCGCATCTCAGAGGGAGAGGAAGAGGAAGAGGAGGGGGAGATGAGAGAGATAGGGAGGGGGAGGAGGAGAAGGGAGGGGGAGGAGGGGGAGGAAGGATGAGTAGTTGTAGTAGCAGCAGTTGATGATATTGTTGTTGCGGCTGTAGCACTAGTAGTAGTGGTAACGGTAGTAGTAGTCCAAGTAAGTAGAACTGGCTTGTGGCAGCCAAGCGTTCATAGCGACGTTGCTTTTTGATCCTCCTTTAATGTCTTCTCTCCCTATCCTTGAGACGCAGAAGTTCAAAAAGTTGGATGGTTCAGCACATCCAGGAAACCTATCGCTGGACCGGCCCAGATATGGTTCCAGAAGCGGCTCGGGAAGCTGCGCAGGCGCCAGAAGCAGAGAAGCACCACGTACGGGCGCCGGCTCGGGCGTCCGGCCCAAAGCCGCTCCAGAATCGGCCCAGGACGGCTTCCCGGGCGCCGCAAGCAGAAATTCAGCATTTTCGAAAGAAAAATGTGTATTGGAATGGCCTCTTTTCGGCGCGATCGGAACTGCCCGGGCGTCCGGCCCGGGAGCCGGGCCGGGTGCCGGCCGGGCCGGGTGCCGGCCCGAGCTCCGGAATCGGCCCGGACGGCCTCGCGGGCGCCGGAAGCAGAAATTCAGCATTTTCGAAAGAAAAATGTGTATTGGAATGGCCTTTTTTCGGCGCCGCCTCGGAATTCGATTTTCCGGCGCCCGGGCGCCGGCTCGGGCGCCGACCCGGGCGTCCGGCCCGGGAGCCGGGCCGGGTGCCGGCCCGAGCTCCGGAATCGGCCCGAAGCAGAAATTCAGCATTTTCGAAAGAAAAATGTGTATTGGAATGGCGTTTTTTCGGCGCCGCCTCGGAACTCGATTTTCCGGCGCCCGGGCGCCGGCTCGGGCGCCGACCCGGGCGTCCGGCCCGGGAGCCGGGCCGGGTGCTGGCCCGAGCTCCGTCGGCCCGGACGGCTTCCCGGGCGTCGG